TCCTCGTCACATCCATCATGTACTGTAAAAATATTAAAGTATACATTAACTTATGGGACACGCTAGTTTTTATATTAGTTTTTATTTTGCACTTAAAGGGATTTTTAGCGTTACTTTTTCGAGACCAAGCGCAGCAAGCAGTCGTTTCCGTCAGCACCCGGAATTTTTTACTTTTTAAAAAATATTTCCGTACACATGCCCTTTTGTAGTCATTTCTGCCACTGATGTTTTGGTGAACTGTTCTAGAGAAACTGTTGTCAAGAAATTTCTGTCCAGCGTGAATAAAGTCTTATCTTATCTCAAGTCATACACACCAGTTTATTGTGGCACTGTTTGGCTGGGAAAGGGGCAGGGGTGTGTGTGTGTGTGTGTGTGTGTGTGTGTGTGTGTGTGTGTGTGTGTGTGTGTGTGTGTGTGTGTGTGTGTGTGTGTGTGTGTGTGTGTGTGTGTGTGTGTGCTGGATTTTGGTGCCTGGTCCTGTTGTTTACCCGGAAATGTGACGAGACGGTGAGACTAGAATTCGATTACTGACATTCAAACCTTGCGCGACAGCAGATATCAGCACCTTGGTCCTGGAGGAACGTTGTTTCGTTTCACTCTGTACTAACTGTCTGTATTCGGCTGAAATGACAATAAACTCCACTGGACTTGGTATCTTTATATAAATAAAATCAAGCCTAACAAAAACAGATTAAAGTGTCTTTCTACAGTTCTGTGCAAAAGTCTCAGGCACATGGAAAGAAACGCTGTAGAGCAAAGACGCCTTCAAAAATAATGAAATTAAATGTTTCTATATTAAAAAACTCCTATAAAGAGCAGTAAACAGTAATAAATGACACAGAGTCAGTATTTAATGTGACGATCCTTGGCTTTAAATAAATAAACAGTGTCTCAGGTGCAATGTGTGCAGTTTTATAAGGAAATGAGCTGGAAGTGTTACTGAGCATCTTGCAGAAGCAGCCGCAGTTCTTCTGGAGACTTTGACTGTCGACTCGCTTCTTATTTCTGCAGCGAAACCCAGCAGCCTTCATTCTGTTTTTATCTGAAAAGCGTCTCTTATGGAATCTGCTGCTTTCTTTACTGACACACAAACATTTTTCTGTAACGTTT